AGGAGAGGGGGGCGGGATGGAGGAAACAGGCAGAAATGCTTGCGCTTTGAAGCAAAAAAATGACTAAGAAAGAATGTGAAGGAATTTGTTTTTCAAAAAAGTAAGGTCTTGTAAGCGCTCCTGCTTAGTTACAGTGTATTGCAAATGCAATTACCTCAGCAGTGGGTTTTTTTTGTGTAAATTTTTTAAAATAATCCTCCACGGACCGCGTTCGTGTAGCCTATCGATTTTTCGACGGGGTTTTTTAAAATGTGATTTTGATAAAGATGTTTAAATTGTCTCTAAGGGAGATTATCAAGACTTCTTGGATTATATGATATTAGTAATGCTTCTGGGATGATGCAACACCTTCGTTTGCAACTGCGGTAAACCGCTGGATCTGGAGCAATCTAGTAGACCGCTCCTCTTGTTCTTACATCCGACAGCACTAGTTTTGCTGTGTATTTTCAGTCAAGTACTAGGCAGTTGTTTTCTTTCAGATTTGCAGAATGTACAAATAACACTACGAATATTACATCGGCCAGAACCAAGCAAACTACCCAACATATATTTGAACATTGGACGCGACTATGCCGAACGAGTGCTCCCTTCAATCACCAATGAAGTACTCAAAGCCGTCGTTGTAAGCCATTTGTCCTCCATTTGACTTCACTCACTTTTGGATTTCATCTCACGATAGGGTGCAGAAAACAATTAAACGTATCTGAGAGGTAAAAACGAGATTTTGAGAACTGAAAACCAAACAACGGTGTAAGCTTCGACGAAAGTACAGCCACACTCAGATCACTGCATTCATTGATATTTAAGCCTCCACATTTCACTGTCCTATTTCCAGAATTAAGTTTTCAAATTTGAAAAGCAATACCACACAGTAGATGAATGAATTCAATTTTTCAGGCATTATTTTCTCCTATGTTAGAGTCATTTTATAAGATTTTTTCGCTTTTCTTTGCATCTTTTTTTTGAATATTGAACCTTAATTCTGGGTATAGACATGTGATTTGTGCATGGATTGTGTGTATGTGTGATGTGTGTATGTGTGTTCGTCTATCCCTCATTTATTTCCGTCTCCACGTTCGCACCAAAAAAGCGAAATTTACAAAAAATTTTTATTGCTCACTACGAATTGACTCAATTTTTTTCATTGTATTAGCCTAATAATTTCACTGGACACTAAGCTGTAGCCTGCGCATATTCTTCAAAGCTGCATCTGAAAGATACATGCAAATCTGATTTCCACTAACACAGTTTTGCAATAGATTCATATTTTTGCTTGCTCCCTTGTGTGCACATCGCTATTTAGTTCTAATAGAGTATTTTAGTACTATTTTTATTACTAGATTTCAATGCTTGTATGGATGATTCTGTTTTTCAAAAACCAGTTTCTGATTAGAAAGATGGCGAGTGTAACCCTGTGGCAAATGATGCCACTACTCTGCCAGTGGCGCAGAGAGTCCTACAGCCTATTTAATTTTTTCGATGGTAATTTGGTACTGGCATATGCCAAGAACTCGCCACTAGTTCTCTCTCGAATAACTTTTGCAAGAGAGGGCCAATAACAGCACTTCTGCTGCACAGTTGCTTTTGGCATATGCTATCATTTGGGCTACTTCCGAATGTCTCCATCTCTTATGCAGGATGTGTACGGAAAGGGTTTTGAGTTTTCACTTGATTTTCGGTTTCTGATCTGCCAGCAGTAATGCTTGTGCTCTCTTACCAGCTTTGAATTGATGGGTGTTCAGAAATTTCGGTATTATTTCCACTTCATAATTGACTTTAGGCTCAGTTTGATGCGCACGAAATGATCACGCAACGAGAAAGTGTCAGTCACAGAGTTTCACTTGAACTCTCCGAAAGAGCCAAACAGTTCGGCATTTTATTGGATGACATTGCCATTGTAAGTTTAGCATCATTTCTCGTTTCTCATTTTTTTTTTTTTTTTTTTTCAATTATAAATCAGTTGCGAGTCGGAAAAATTTCCTTTGATTATTGAATTTCACAGAAATGCAGGAATTTTTTGCAGACTCACTTATCATTTGGACGTGAATTTACGGAAGCCGTAGAAATGAAGCAAGTAGCACAGCAGGAAGCTGAGAAGGCTCGTTATCTTGTCGAAACAGCCGAGCAAATGAAAGTTGCAGCAATAACGACTGCAGAAGGTGATGCACAAGCAGCCAAACTTCTTGCACAAGTAAGGAAAATCTTTGAAATTGCCTAGCAGAAGCACACATTCACTTCTTAGGTTTCGTAGAAGACAAATCCAAGGCAGGCATCTTGGTTTTACGCCGAACGAGTTTTTAGATTTTCGTAAGGGAAGGCAGCACAGAAAGGAGGAGGGAATGTTAATTAGGTCAAGAGGTGCAAAATTTAACGACAGCGGTAAGCATTTGCTGAAGGCATAAAAATAATTTGTTCAAAATCACAAAATTTAACTAAAAGTTACTAATACTAAAACCAATGCCAAAATTGTGGAAAAATGCCAAGTTTTTGCTGAATGAATGGATAAATTGGTTTTCCTTTTTTCTTAGAACGTGTTCCCCGTTTTTGAAAGCTTAAACAAATGGACTGCATAGAAATATTGGAAAATAGTAGCAGACATTCACGGGACAAAGTACTTGCTGGAAAGGTTGATGTGAACGTAGTTTTGCTTTTCCACACTCCGTGTTGAGGCTTTTCTCATGATTTTGTTTTAAGGCATTCAGAGAAGCGGGCGATGGCTTAATAGAATTGCGAAAAATCGAAGCAGCTGAGGAGATAGCGGAACGGATGGGAAAATCCAGAAATGTGGTGTATTTGCCGAACAATCAAAATACATTATTCAACTT